ATTCTATGATTCTATGATTCTATAAAAATAAGACATTATTGCAACGCTTTGCAACAGCACTGGTAAGAATTTAGAGAGGGAGCTAAAAAGAACTCTTTCACTGGAATGTAAAGACTACGTGTGAAAGGAAGCAACAGTCAGAATTTTGAAGCTGAATGTAACCTTCCTAACAGGCTGCCTGCAAAGTAGCCAGAGAGAGAACATCATCTTTTGGCTCTAGAGATCATTATGATGCAACCCACTGACACATGGTATTTTTTAAGCGAATACCTTTTTCTTAGTCTGAAACAGGAGCATGAGAAAGGGACCAGACCTGTGTGTGCAAATAGGCCTACCAACAAAATACATATTTGCCAGAATACGTTATGTATTCAGTCTGCAGTGGAATAACACAGAGGAGATCATGACACCAAAAAGCTGTTCAATCTTGAAAAAGAAAGCACTTACGTGTCTCCTGACTTGCGGTAATTTTCTGGACATTCCAAAGACAGACAGCGAAAGCCTCCCTGGATGTTAAAGCAGGTCTCATTGAAAGAGCAGTTGTGGCTTTCTGCAACACACTCATCAATATCTGCCAAATGGAAAAAGGTGAGTGGATTAAATACATGTCTTTCCTCTACTTGGAAGTGCCAGATGATGAAAGTATCATATTAGGTAACAGAGAACAGGGGACACAATTAAACATTATTACAGAACTGGAAGGGGAGCACAGAAGAACAAAAGAAAAAGAAGAAATCTAACCCAAATGACAGGCAAGAACAGGAAAAGGAAGAGCAGCAGTGCCACTAAGTGGACAAGACCTAAATATCTGCTGAAATGTTTATAGCATGATATTTCCTTTTAATGGCTAAACTAACTCATACCATTCCGCAGTGGGAATCTTCATCTTCAGAATTGGTTAGAATTCTTTAATAATGTCATAAAAAGTATTCCCTACTGCATTCTACACTTTATAAGAGAAATTTCCTGTATATTTATTATAAAATATTGGTTTCTTCAGATTTTGAGCTGGTGTTTACCGCTTTACCTATATTGTTATAGGAAAGGCATATTTTTAAACATAAAAACTTGCTAGAACTTTTCAGAAGTCCACAATCCAGTCAGGTCTCCCTGCAGTTTGAACTCACCTTGGCAGTTGCGTGCATTGGGTGCCAACCTGTAACCAGTGGAGGGACAAGTACACTGAAAGCTTCCAGGAATATTAACACATCGAAAGGAACAGATATGCCCTCCAGTAGGTAAAGCACATTCATCAATATCTGCAGGAAGGAAACACCACTAATTTACTATGCGTTCATGACCTTCAACCAAGTGCACATGTACAGCGTTCCCACTGTGAGCTTCAAACACAATTTCATGATTCTAATTCCTGGGCAAGGAAAAGGATCATCAGATAGGAGAGGCTCGAGTCAATAAAGGCTGTTGGGAATAAATGGAGGCGTCAAGAAAATTAAAAGCAACAACAGGGCCCAAGAGACAAAGTAAATGGAGAAGAGCAACCACTTTACAGTGATGTATATCATAGTGCTCTATGAAAGGGAGGGAGAGGAATAGTTTATCCTTGTTCTCACAAAAATGAAATCGAGATGAGGTGTTCTGCCCAAGGTCTTACTGTCTAGTAAGTCCTGGAGATCTAAGTCCAAATTCAGGATCTTGTCCATGAGGTCACACCCACATCCGCTTGTATTTGAGGAAAACCTACTTACACATTAGTTCAGAACCAGCCACAAAAAGAGGATATATAAAATACTACCTACTAATATTATGTATTACATACATAACATATAAATGTGTTTGTATCTTCACTTGCTGAAGACTAGAAATTCTGTTAGTTCCTTAAAAAAACAAAACAAAACAAAACATTTTTGGCAAGTTACAAGAGTATGCCAAGCTACAATTCAGTGAAAACAGCAAAACTGACACCTCACAAGCAGAGATATTTCTAGACTAGAACATGGGTGGGAGACCTTCATTAAATACGGTTTCACAGGAAAATAACAGAGAGAATTAAATGTTAAAATGAAACGATTACAGGTATATGGAACTGTTCATGTATGTTATAGTGAAAATAAGAAATGCTCACTCATCATCTACCTGCAAGACAATAATGCTTACCTTCACACGAAATCCCATCTATGTCACTAAGTTGAAAGCCACGGCGGCAGTAACACTGATACGAGCCATACACATTGGCACACTCTTGACTACAGGGGCTGCTCTCACACTCATTTAAATCTGAAACGTAAAATTGTACACCTGAACCCCACATTTCTTGCTGTATTTGTCACTCCCGTTACAAGACTAAGGCAAAAGTTTGGAAGACAATTTTTTTAATTAAAAAAGGATTCTATGCATGTTGTATGCTGGAAATAAGGGGCTTTGGGTGTATTACTCTCGACAGGGCCTGGCAGTATAGGTTAATCTGCACTGTACTATTATTTCCCACTGTCCTTCAAGGTATGTGACTTGGAAGGAGTCTTTAGGACCACACTTGCATTTTTATATCTGGATATCTGCAAGGCGGGTTTTGAAGATCTTGAATCTGATCTAGCAGAATCACCCATTAAAATACAGTAACTGCAGACCCATACATCTCTGCGTGATCCAGCCAAAGGGCAGTATATTGGAACTGTGGGCTATAGTGGCCTTCATTAATCATAACAGCATTCATGCAATCAAAGAGACCACACTGTGTTGATTTCTCATGCCATTCCAGTGCAGTCTTACAAGCTAAAATCAAACAAAAATAGCTAAACAGTACTGAGCTGTATCTCACATTATATGATTAAAGCATATGACAGCCATACCTTCACATGACCTGCCATCAGTTGAAAGTTTGAATCCCATGGTACATGTGCAGTAATAGGAACCAGGAGTATTCTCACACTTGTGAGCACAAAGGCGGCCTGGATAGCGTCTGCATTCATTGATATCTGCAATAATAAATATATACAGAGGCCTATGCATAGGCTGGCTTCACTGCAGTAGGAGTCTGGACAAGAACGTCATCATAAAAGTTTGATTTTTATTTTCCAGATCTAAATTTCATACCAGAGAGGAAAGGACTTGCATAAAATGCTCATTTAGAAGCACACCAGTGCATAATTGAATTAGATCTATAAAGAAGAAAGTTGCTTTGATCTTCCAAAGGAATGTTTTGCTGTAGGTGCATATAAAAATATCACAGAAAACAATTACACACATTCTCATAATCTTACCTTTTAACAGGATAACAGATAACATGTTGACAATACTAATACAGCTTCCTTTGAAGTATCAGCAGCTCTTTAATATGGTGTTAGGTTTATACAAATAATATAGTAGTCAATTTTACGTTCAGATGAAAGAGGTTATGCAAAGAGCAATAACATTCTTTACACAGGATCATTTTTTAAAATGCCATGGCTGCACGTATTTAATCCGATAGGTGCAACTTACCAATACAAGTTCTACTGATGACATCAAAAGAATAGCCAGATTTGCACTCACAACGGTAATTGCCTGGGGCGTTTATACAAACATGTCCTTCTCCACAAGGCTGATTAGAGGATGAGCACTCATCCACATCTAAAACAAGGAGAGAAGTGATTGAAAGTACACTTCTGAGCACTCAAGTTGCGAGAAGAGCAACATGTTAACGTATTTCTGTGTCCCCTAGTAGTTATAAAGTGTTTTGAAAGAGAAAGCAAGATTTTGATCTAGCACTCAGCTTCCACAAGATTAGAGTCACAGATCCAAACTATTCTTACTGAAACAGGTTATCTCTCAGGTATCCTGTTAATGTTGATGGACTTGGGAAGGAAAAGAAATCAGGAAATCAGACAAACTTTGGAGGAAATCAGGGCCAAAATTGTTTTATTACGCACATTCAATATTCATGGATCAGATCTTCAGCTTGTGTAAGATGCCAGAGACCCACAGCCAGTAGTGCTTTGATAGGCCATTTACAAAAATTGACATATATGCATAAATACCTCTTTTTACAAAATTCACCTCAGTTAAAAGCCAGCCAAAGGCATATATGCCTTTCCACACTACTTGAATGGCTTCTGTGGGACATTAAGTGGGCATTATGTTATATCTCTGTATTGGGGAGATTTGAGACAACACAGCGTTGTTCCAACACACTAATATAGTCACAGACAATGCCACTTTTGGGGGGTGATAATAATTTCTCCTCTTCTCAGGATACAGGGTTTCATTATTTTCCAGATCTAAATTTCATACTACAGAGGGAAAGACTTGCATAAAATGCTCATTTAGAAGCACACCAGTGCATAATAGACATACTGGACAGGCAGTAGATCCTTGTCATTCTGCACTTGTTGGGACTGTCATGAGGCAAAGAACAGGATCAAGAATTGACTGCGGGAATGAGAAAAATCTGGGCAAATTGCAAGAAACTGGTCAACATAAATCATAGATGTCACTTATTTTCTTCAAACTGTTTTGTTTTCACAACTCTTACTTACCTACGCATCTTGTTCCGTCTTCATTGAGATGATAGCCTCGGCCACAGCTGGGTGAGATTCGCTGGCAGGGATACGAGCCATCAGTGTTAATACATATCTGCCCAGCTGGACATGGCATGTTGGTGCTCACGCATTCGTTGATATCTACAAGAGCACAACAAGTCAGCGTAACTATCTGCTGTTTGAAAATGTTTTAGGCAAGATGCTTTCCTTATGTAATACTTCAGAGGATTACATCAGGATGTAATCCTTCAGAATCTGAAAAGCTCTGCCCATGGAAGAACACATCTATTCACGTCACCTAGCTTCATGGATATAATGCTTCCAGGGTGAAGATCAGAAGAGGTATGAGAGGCCCAGATCCCACCGAAAAGCAGTGGAAAATACGATTAGCATTTTTATCTGTTTGAAAGCTTTTGAAACTCTCTCCTAAACATACAAATTGATGATCAACAATTCAGTTCACCAGCTCAACGAGTTATGCTGCAGCCTGTGGATTGTGTTTCACAGTAAATGAGCTATCTAGTAGCACATGCTCATATAGGTAGTAGCTGACCCCATTTTTACAGAGAGATAAACTGCTGCTCACAAGTACTGATCATGAATACCTTAGCTTGCTTTATGGCAAGTTGTCCATCACATAAGAATGCAAATAGCTTATTTATTCACAAGGCTATGCAGCCCTCTACCATCCATCCAACATTTGTCTTTTTTTAACAAACTGGACATCATATTGCCTTGTGACAAAGACATCCTTTGCCTGATAAGAACGCACCATACAGTAAAATCTCAGAAAACGTAATGAGATGAGACTAAACTGAGTTTATGATCTGGTGTGACGTATCTAGTCAAGAAGGTAAGGAACTCACTATTATGTGCTATTAGTTTAGAGGAAAGGAGTTTTAGAGTCAGGAATCAGTGGCTACAAGGGGTACTGAGGCAGCCTTTGCTACCTGGAAGAGTCAATATAACTAAGACCGGATAGTTTGAAGGAGCAACACTGTGAGTGTATGGGCTTGCATCCCATACCTTCAGCAAAGTCCAGCTTCATGCGAGTACTTCTCTGCCTAAAATTTTTCCAACTGTTTCACTGGGATATTATCATCATTTTACACAGTGGTACTGTTAACTATCGAGGAGCTACTGTCGTCTATTTGGTATGGTACTAAGCTCAGCATCTAGCTTGCACAACGTTGGCTGTCTGAAGATGGGGAAGGGTATGTCCTTTCAGCCAGGCCCATCCCAGCTCACACAAGTATAAAATTCTCAACATACAATGACACTGGAAACACAAGAAAGTTTTCATACTTTTTGCCTTTCGACATCACACAGGGCAGCATTTGATTCACAGCTTGTAAAATCAGCCTGTGAAATTGTTTTGGTAAATATTGTGAGCAAATGCGTTTTAGGGGACATAACTACTGCTGCTGCAAATAGATGTGGCTTTGCTAATGTCAGTGAAGGCATGCTAACTTCTAACAACCACGGACCTGGTGCCAGCTATGGCTGGTAAATGTCTTCAAACAGTTTGTTGTGTACAAGCCCTGGCCCCCTTCATTTCAGAGGCTGCAACTTTGTTTTCAGCCTCAGTGTTGCCAGCGTCAGATTTCGGCACTACAGGGTATGTATGATACGGTCAGGAGAACGAGGGGGTTGACAATGAGCTAGACTTGGCAGCAGCTGCCGCTCAGCCAGTTCCACAACTCCAAGGCACGCTACGCCGCTGGGGGAATTCAAAGTTAAGTTGAGACTTGAACATACTACTCAAGGGAATAACTGGTAGATTTGTAGGTAACATCAGACAATTCCATTTAGAGTGCTGGAAAGCAGTAATTCTAATATATTTATATAAAGGTTATAATCCTGTTTTGTAGGAGTCTTGGAAACAAGGCATTAGCCCAACAGATTGTAATCAGTCTTTAAAATAAAACTCCTCTCCACAGTGTATTATAACTGGCCCATAATTCTAATACATAGTAAGATTCTTGATAAGCTATAACTAAGGGGGGACAGGTCTGGAAAGACCTACATGCATGTAGAACCATACATACTAATCAACAAAGTATGTTACAAAGAATGTAATAAATTACAGCTTTTTATATCAAGTTTTAGCTAAAACCTTTTGGATACAGCGAGACAAAACATCTCACAAATTTCTTACAAACTTTATTTCAGACAAAATCCCCAAAGACTTAATGAAAACGTTCAAATGCAGCTAAGTGCCTTAGGTAACCAAACCTCATTAAAAACAGAGATCTCATAGGTAAGTCTTTTATTTAAATGTGTTTTTTTTGTCTGTAAACCTTACCTGTGGGACCAAGCCTGTCTTTAAAGGAGCAGAAAAAACACATAGCAGAGCAATGCATACGTGTGTGAAAAATGACTTGAGAAGCTCAAAACTAACCCAGTGAAACTACAGCTTATCTCACAAGCAACACTTAAGTATTCACTGAAATAAGAATAGGTCTTACCAATACAGTTGCCTAGCGCATCTTGTATAAACCCATTCATGCACTGTAGCTTGGGTCGGCAACGGAAAGATCCAGGAGTATTCTGACAGATAAAATCGGGGGGGCAGTTATGAGTACCAGTCTCACATTCGTCAATATCTGGTACATCACAAAAAAAGATTGTTAGCAGGAGTTTGACAGAAGCTTTTTCATCACATTTAAAACATAAGACATAGTAAAAAACATCAGACAGATTAATCCTCAGCGTATCTTCATGCAATTCGATACAGTGAACCAGGATCAATCTGACCTACTACCTCAAACAGAATCTCAGTAAAAACAGGTAGAATAAGTTAAGGTTTATTATTTTGTTATTAACATTATACATGGGGAAGCATGCGTGTTTATTATGCTTTACAAGCTTAGTTCTCACATCTAAATGATTCAAAATTATTACAGGGCACCTCAAGCATCATGTTCGACTGTGTTCGGCATTGATTCAGCAGTGTGCTTACACATGGCCTCAGCTTTGAAGTCAGTAAGATTTAACTGTATGTCCAACTGAAATTTTGACTTTAACCTTAGATCCAATACAGACATTGTTCATTTCTTTCATAAGTGAATTAATTGGCCTTGATTCTCATCCATATTAAGGGATGCAATATCCTTCCATTATTGTGCTTTAAATGGCCATAAATATGATTTCTGCTCACTTTTAATATTCCATTCCAGTTCAGAATAGGCAATAAAAAATTGTGAATAAATTATGATTCACTCAAAGCAGACAAAGCTAATGAATCTTCATTCATGAATGTAACCCTGTCCACATAAAAGCAGCTAAAAATTAATTTTTATCACCTTGCAATGAGATGAAATCTCCCAAAGGTATTAAAATACAGAAACTTTCTAGAGACAGGATGCATCAGCTTTCACATTTATGCAGTTGACGCAACAGATGCAATTGCTTATCCTTAGAGTTTTATGAGACATAAATGATGATTGTGCAGCCCGTTTTAAGTTTAGGATGGGTTAATACTGAATCGGGTTCAACAGGGTTCTACATAGAATCATAGAATCATTTAGTTTGGAAAAGACCTTTAAGATCATCAAGTCCACTGTTAACCTAGCACTGCCAAGTCCACCACTAAACCATGTCCCTAAGCACCCCACCTTCACATCTTGAAATACCTCCAGGGATGGTGACTCAACCACTTCCCTGGGCAGCCTGTTCAATGCTTTACAAATCTTTTGATACAGAAATTTTTCCTAATATCCAACCTAAACCTCTCCTGGCGCAACTTGAGGCCATTTCCATTTGTCCTATTGCTTGTGACTTGGGAGAAGAGACCAACATCCACCTCACTACAACCTCTTTTCAAACAGTTGTAGAGAGCGATAAGGTCTCCCAAGTCTCCTTTTCTCCAGGCTACACAACCCCAGTTCCTTAAGCTGCTCTTCATAAAACTTGTACTCTAGACCTTTCACCAGCTTCGTTGCCTTTCTTTGGACATGCTCCAGCACCTCAATGTCTTTCTTGTAGTGAGGGGTCCAAAACTGAACATACTATTCAAGATGCAGTCTCACCAGTGCTAAGTACAGGAGGACGATCACTTCGACACTATTGCTGATACAAGTCATAGAATCATAGAATGGTTTGGGTTGGAAGGGACCTTAAAGATCATCTAGTTCCAACCCCCCTGCCATGGGCAGGGGAACCCTCCACTACACCAGGTTGCCCAAAGCCTTATCCAACCTGGCCTTGAACACTTCCAGGGATGGGGCATCCACAACTTCTCTGGGCAACCTGTTCCAGTGCCTCAGCACCCTCCGAGTGAAAAATTTCTTCCGTATATCTAATCTAAATCTCCCCTCCTTCATTTTAAAGCCATTGCCCCTTGTCCTGTCACTACACACCCTTGTAAAAAGTCCCTCTCCAGCTTTCCTGTAGGCCCCCTTTAAGTACTGGAAGGTTGCGATAAGATCACCCCGGAGCCTTCTCTTCTCCAGGCAAGAAGAGAAGACTACAAGAAAGTCAGGACACTTGGCCTTCCTGGCCACCTGGGCCCACTGCTGACTCATATTCAGCTGTCTGTCAATCAACACCCCCAGGTCCTTTCCTGTCAGGCAGCTTTCCAGGTGCTCTTCCCCAAGCCTGTAGCATTGCATAGGGTTGTTGTGACCCCAGTGCACATATTGCACAACTGAGTCATTTTACTTGACATTTAAAAATCATACATGAAGATTATTCATTTTCTATTTTCATTGCTATTAATATAACATTAATAATTAAAATTATTAACAAATGTGCTGGTTTTGGCTGGGATAGAGTTGATTTTCTTCATAGTAGCTAGTATGGGGCTATTGTTTTGGATTTGTGCTGGAAGCTGTTGACAATGCTGAGATGTTCCCCTTACTGCTGAGCAGTGCTTACACAGAGCCGAGATCTTCTCTGCTCCTCATCCTACCCCACCAGCGAGGAGGCTGCGGGTGCACAGGAAGCTGGGAGGGGACACAGCTCGGACAGCTGACCCCAACTGACCAAAGGGATATCCCATACCCTGTGACATCATGCTCAGCATATAAAGCTGGAGGAAGAAGAAGGGGAGAATGTTCAGAATGATGGTGTTTGTCTTACCAAGTAACCATTATGTGTGACGGAGCCCTGCTTTCCTGGAGATGGCTGAACACCTGCCTGCCCATGGGAAGTAGCAAAGGAATTCCTTCTTTTGCTTTTCTTGTGTGTGCAGCTTTTGCTTTACCTATTAAACTGTCTTTCTCTCAATCCACGAGTTTTCTCACTTTTACCCTTCTGATTCTCTCCCCCATCCCACCGGAGGGACAGTGAGAGATTGGCTGTATGGGGCTTAGCTGCCGGCTGGTGTTAAACCACGACAACATATCTTATTCAGATAACGAATTTCTAAGATCAATGGCATGCATAATTTACTGTCTGTACTCTATTTTTTCCACCAGAGAAAGATTGTTAATACTTGCTAGTAAGCTATTTGTTGTCCTAAATCTGATGTCATTCAAATCAGCAGAAATTTCACTTCAAAGGGATCAAAGTTAGGTCACAATACTTTGAAAACATTATATGTTCTGCAGGTTTTGTGTTGAGGTTTTTTCATCAGCTTTTCTGTTCAATTTATTATTCACCACTGATCAGTACCTACAATACAACCTTACCCAGAATTTTGGTTGAGTTAATTTACTCAGCGGAATGAAATTAGTCTGTTTATAAACAATTCTAAGCTCTGGGGCAACAAACTTTCTCATAGTGGAAACCAATTCCACATCAAACAGAGTTTGCTGCTTATTTATATCTCTGCAAAGGTAGCATGTCGGGTAAAGTTATGGATGCACGTAACACCATACTTTGAGCTACATGGGCTTTGAGCAACCTGGTCTAGTGGAAGGTGTCCCTGCCCATGGCAGAGAGGTTGGAACTAGATGATCTTTAACGTACCTTCCAATCCAAACCATTCAATGATTCTATTTCTTTAGTAAATAAAAACTATTACCCTAGTCTTCAAACATAGCTGGTCAAGAATAGTGCTTTTAATCCTTTTTCATTTTTAAATCCTTTAGAATGTTGTTAGAAATGAATCCCTTTGTAACAAATTTAAACCTCCTGAGGATAAAAGTTGATTTTTTTTAAAAGATGCATCTATGTTAGTGTTTTCAAATTGAGTCACCTGGTCACTCCACTTGCCATACTTTGATTCACACTCCGAAGTGTGTAAACTTGATTCTTCCACGTGGAACTAAACCAATAGATATGCTCCAGGAGCAGGACTTAGGTGCTCCACTCACTAACGAGCAACCAATTCACAGGATCAGACTAGAGCGAGCCAGAATAAACACCAGAAAAATGTGTATAGTGTGAGTCCTGGGCCTTAAAAATCAACTGTTTCAGTCCAGCTCCTATCGCACAACGCAAATTGCCAGTGTAAAACAAATGTAGTTATCTCTCCTGGAAGTCTTTGTAGAAGCCCACAGACGGCCTGATCTGGTATCTGCAAAGTGACAGGTGGAAAACTAGTGCCTCAGAAGAACTAGCACTGTCTGCGTGTCCCTGCGGCACTGCAGCTTACACGTGTATTTACCAAAAGTAAAAGAGTATGACATGATGATGTACTTATTTTTTACTTTAAGTCTGGAAGACTTCAGTTTCTCTGCACAGGGCATACCTTTGCAGCGACTGTCATCTGTCAGTTCATAACCAGTTCCACAGCTCGTGTCCCGCTGACAACGAAAGGATCCTAATGTATTGACGCAAGTTTGTCCAATCCCACAGCTGTGTGTCCCAGTGATGCATTCATTAATATCTAGAACATGACAAAATATTTTAAAAAAATAAATAAAGAGTAAAGAAACATGAAATCACTGGAAAGCGATTAGGTCAAAGGCCACCTGTGGGCACATTTCCAACTAGTCATTACTTTGAGCATCAGGATGCAAAGAACGGTGTGGATTCGGCCCCACGCTCACAAACCTGCAATGTGGCTGCTTATCTCTGTTCTCAGTGTGAGTCACTAAAGACATTTTGACTCCACTGGTAACGGGACTTAGGACTGCTGATTCACTGCTCTTAAGCAAGAGGGGGAAGTTGTACTGAGTGACAGCAAGGGGCCAGCATCATCTGATTGAGTCAGTAGCAGATGATTATAGTGGCTATATGAATGAGGCAAGCTTTCAGAAATCTTTCCCTTGCTCTGCCTCCCACCCACATACGGCTTAGGGACTCCCTGACCACAAGCTGGAACTTTCTATTTTGTAGTTATTGATAGACGGTTCTTTTGTGAATCTTTTCATTTTCTCTTTGAATGCATAAGAGCATTTGGCATCCACGTGTATCAAATGTAAAAGTTCTTCCTTTTAATATTTCACATTAAGTTGGTGTTAATCTGACCATTCATTGATATCTATTTTATATCCTGAATTTTGTATCTGAGCTACTTAAGGAGACTCCCTTTTCAGTCACAGAGAAAAAAAGGCTGATTACTCCTGATGAGTAATGCTGCTCATTCTACAATAGCTACGCAAAATACGCAAGATAAACTGTGCTCTGGAAATGGTTTTTTCTCTCAGTTAGCACCAAAAGGAGCCTAGGCTAACTAGTGCAGAAGCAGATGTCCACATTGCACATACCTGAAGTCAAGCGCGATAAGCTCTATCTCCCAGCCATTTCATTTGATGTCCCTTTAGCAGTTGTTCTGGGAGAAATGTAACAGTTCTTCCCCTTGACTATTCCCATTCCACTCAGGACATCCCAGATTTTCATCCTTCCTGTCATTTGTATCCTTAGCAAGCTGAAGAATTCTGCTTTATTTCATCTGCCTTATCGATTACTATCTACTACTATAAAAGAGAACTGGTATTTTATTTTGGTTTTATTCACAACAATAAAGTCAAGATCTTCTGCCTCTTCTCCACTCTAAACCCTTCATCTGTTCTACTGTTTCTTCACTCCATTGTCCCACAACCCTCATTTCAACACTCCATTTTAAATCAACTTTTTATGATCTCACCTCTTTACCCAGTAGGCATAAGCATATTCTGATCTCTTCTGTCTGGATCTTTTTTTATCTATTCTTGCTCTTTTAAAACAAGGACATTGATAATCGAGGCAATGGCTTTATTTCTTTTACCTTCACAGTTGACACCATCTGATTGAAGTTGATATCCAACAAAGCAGGAGCAGACGTAACTGGATCCTGTGTCTCTGCACTGCTGGGAGCAGGGACCACCGCCTAATGGGATATTTTAAGAAGTCTTACATAATTAAGAGGCTCTTCACAGGAACTGAAACAAACCATTGATTTACAGGATGCTTGCTGATTTAGAAAAACAGGTAACTAAGCACACACATATACAAAAGAAGGAAAGGGCTAAACACTGAAAGAAGTGTTGGTAATCACTGGATTCTTTTAGTTCTAAAAATGTATACAAGAAGGTAGTAAATTAAGGAGTTGCTCATAGCCCATCATTGTTAGAAGTTGAAGGGAAAATGCTAATGAGCTCAGAAACCTCCTCAGGTTTCGGCTGGGAAGTTAAAACTTTGTATGGTGATTACCACACAACAAGGAAGACAAGATGCATCGGCATAAGTTCATGAAACATTTTCACTATTAGCTGCATTAGGCTTTAGTTTTAGCCTGTCCTTATCAGGACCATACTCCTGCGTCAGCTACAGCATGTGCTCTTTTCCTAATCAGCAGGCAGGAAACATGAAAGGAAGAAGACAGTGTTGTGGGTGACAAAGGCTTCAGAAATGTAAAGGAATCAAGACTTACTACTGGGGTACTAAGGACCTAATGAGGTGTGTGTAGGAGTCACAAAGGATGTCAAAGAGAGTTGGAGTTATTCTGGCAGACAGAAAGAGAGCAAGCTATAGGAAATTTACACAAAATGTGGCTCATCGTTAAGAAATCTTACTTTTTCTGATCTTGTTAAAAAATAAATTAATATTAAAAACATTTAATATTCTCACAGCAGAGAAAAGGTTATGTACTTCCAACTCTTTGCTGTAAGAGTGTTGATATTCTTAGTACAAATAGAACTTGTCTTCTTCTGTTTTTCAGAATGGCTGGATAGGCATTAAACAAAAGGTTTGAGATAAGCACAATCAATGTGGGCAAATGCAGCTAAAATACTTTAAACTTTTGAGTGAATTAAAATAATTTTTTAAGTGTAACAATTTCTAACGAGGACAGGGCCATTAATACACCACAGAAAATTAGGTCTGTACGCAATACTAGCAAAGGCAATGACATTAGAAGGAACCACAGTCTTGTGGTTGAGATGGACAGCTACAGCCTTCTGAACCTCTGCTAATACTGTGAGCTCCTGTCAGCCACAGTAAAACCTATCGTGGAGGTGGTGGAAGAAAAGAATTAATTTCCTCATATACCATGAAAGTGCTCAAAAACAAACTGCTGGAGGTTCCACTGCCTAGGAAATTTAAGCTTCCCCTGTTGAAAATTGAAAAATCACAAGTAATTTTGGCATGCCAATTTATCAGAAAAATATACTGTAGACAGAAACTCCAATTTGCAATTAAAATTTGTAAAAGAGTACCAATCCATCTCTTGCAGGCAGCTGATTAACTGACAAATGCAACAATTGATTACATAAAGAAATAATGCTAGGAAAATATGTAACACGTTTTTCCATGTCATCTCTTATAATTAGCAGCTGGAGACAAGAAGGAATGCCAGTGTTGGCTTTGACTAGCTAATGACCTAGCAGACACTTCCATTCTCTCTAGACTGTAACAGCTATACAACATGCAGCACAGTAAATCATCTCTGAAATGGAATATAAGTCTATTAAATTGATTTTATCCTAAATAAATTACTTAGTTCTGAAATGCTTGAAGAAGACAATAAATCACTGCTGCTTTAAGTTTATAGACATGTAAATCACATGTGACAAGCAATAAATCAGAATACTTAGCAGAATGATATCCCAATAACACATTCTTCCCAGGAGGCAGAACAGTCTGACTAATGAGGACAATAGTCCCTTTTCTTCCCTTTTTTTCAGGTGATGCATCTCAAAAGGAAACAACTTTTGCCCAATACTCAACCACTCTGATCATCCCAAGAGGAGAAGAAAAGAATGGACATATTTAATACAGGACCCCCACGTTCTGAAGAATCCAGAGTACTCTACAGGTTCAATGGGTAACACCTCTGAGGTATTACCCACTAGAAGATAAATAAAAGTTTACTGTGTAGTCTAAGCTAAGTTGGGTAAGGCGAACGCCGCTATGGGAGACAATGCATCCCTTGTATTTAAGAACTACTGAGGCATCACATTTCTTAGAACTATTTCTAAGTTCACTCTGCTGTTTCTTAGAAAGGATATTCATGTTGTTATTTTACCGGTAACTAGCCTGGACAAAAGGTTTTGGCTAATCTCTAGATCTAAGTTTGCTTCACTTTTATTGGAGGCAATCACAAAAGAGCTGGCTAACAGGACTAGTCACCTGACTTACCTCTGCAGCCATCATGCAGATAAGGATCTTCTTGGTCTAGTTCCTCCTTTGAAATTTCAACTAAAAAGAGGAGAGAGAGGCATTAGAGGAGAAAGCACTTTTCTTCTTACAGTAAAAAGTTGCCTGCTTGGGACGAGACTCAGACCAGGGTTTTGGATAAACCAGGACAAAATTAAAGAGTTATTTACATATTTTACAGCTATTTCATACTTAAATTTGACATTCAAATGCACATGGCCATGGGGCATTTTCCACCTGACTGATTCAATATGAAAGACATACTGTTATCACAGATTACATTTGGGCTGAGATTTTCAAACGCAGGTTCTTAACATTAGGCTTTTAACCAGAGCTTAACCTCATTTTCATAAGACATGTTGTTGAGGCACGCTTGGCTTCCACTGACTTTATAGTAGCTTGGGGTACTCACAGTTTTAATGAAAATCAGATTAACCTCAATTATTTATTTAGACTTCATTCCAAAAAGAACTCCACACCCAACTTTTGGGCACCTACTTAGGGCATTCTTTCAAACGTACTTCATATACCTTAACTCGGAGAGTTTTGATCAGCCGTACTTCTGCTACGTGACTGTGTCCTGAGAGTTCTTTCTCTCCACATGGAGGACATAAACCAGCTGAATACATCTGAACACTGCCTGAACCCATTGCTTGCCCAAACACCAGGAACTGAATGACCACTTTCCAGCTCCTTTAGCTCGTTTCAGCTATCACTAGCCAAAAAAATGAGCTCCAAAACATGCATCATTAAATTACTCAGAGATCTCAGGTTAGAGGAATTCCAACAGAAATAATTTAAAGTACAAGCATTCCTTGTATCCCATGCAATTTTGTGTCTTACTCTTTTACAATTTGCAACATAAAATACCTTGCTCCTTTTTAGGAGCATCATCGCTGATGGACACATCAATGCCTTCTTGACCCTTCACACAGCAGGTTCTGAAGACAATTCCACACTGGTATCCCATCTTCGGGTTGGGTTCACAACTCTGTCCTTGAACTTGGGCAGCCTTTCCCAGCAAACAACAATGACAACATGTCTGGTTAAAAAAAAAAAAAAAAAGTCAAATCCTAGCTCTGAACAAATGAATGCAAATGTTGTCAACAGCGTTATCTCACCTTGGCAAACTGATGGAAAATTTTCTGTAAACTCTTCAAGAACTCCTGACATACTTAGGCTCCGACATTTTAATCTGTAGCTGAGTTCATTGAGCTCTGCATTTGGCCCACATAGAGCCAAGCACAGAACCTGGATCCAGTTCTCAGAAATATTGTGTATGTGTGAATGTGCGTGCAGGGTGATGTGAAGGACCAGAATGATCCACATATGCATATGGAATCCCATTTCTCCCTGCCTGCACAGCCCAGTTTCCAACATCAGTGAACAGTGGTAATGCTTAACACCTCCGCTTCCCCTCTGTGTCCAGTTCAATTAAACTGGAACATGATCAGTGAAGTACATGACTCAGCTTACAATTAAACTGCCTCCTCAACTTCCCAGCAAAAATTATCCCTCTCTGAACTAACAGACAAACAAGCGAACAAATGTGATTCATCCAAGGCTAGTGTTAACGAGCCACAAAGAGAAGCTATTCTGCTCTGAAAAACAGACTACATAGTCAAACATTACTTAAAAGCATCGCAGTCCTGACATGGCTTCCAGTGATGAAACATGATCTGCCTCTTCCAAACCTTCTGAACTATGGCCCTGGAACACACCACAGAAGTGAACACAGGACAAGTTAATCCCATGGAAGTTTCTCTTTATCTTAAATTGAGGGGACACTGCTGATTTACTCAGTCATCTTCCTTGCTGTTAGAAAGCAGCAAAGATGTTTGGTTCTCTGCAACTGGCGTCTGCCAATCGCTACTGTCATGTAAAAGCAGATTTCAGCTTTTATTGCTAATTTTATTGTTCTTCCAGACTCTGTTTTGCTTGAAGAAAATAGCCTGTTCCATTAAACAGAGCAGATGAAATACAAAATAACTGAACATTGAATTAATCTTCTGTAATTTGGTGCTTTAAGCACCTCATCTATTGAAAAGAAGATAACTATTACGTTTCTTTCACTACTCTGAAACGTCTACCACTGCCTATATTCTAAGTTTTCCCTTATAAGGTATTACATATGTTACTCTTTCCGTGAGTGAAAGGTTCTTTTAAAAGCTAGAGTAGGATAAAAGTAAAATGTTAAAATCCTTTTTCCTTGTTTCTTCAATCATTTTTTACTTTAACGCATTTTGAAGTATGTAAGCATACTATTTTGTACTTTGTCTTCAAATACACGACTGAATCCTTCCCCTACTGCAGAATGTTGTATGGCAGGAACTCTTCCCTCCTGGCCAGTTCTGGGGTGTTGTTTTCATGCCCACCATAATGTTAAGATACATGTTTCCCCTTATTAACTACTGTTTGGTGGGATGGTTCCTCACTACCCACTTTCTTTACTTGGTTCTCCAACTACTTCCATCCAGTGGCAGATGCTCTGGTTTCATCACTAGTATGTCTGGGATATTTCCATCTTTCCTGTTTTTTCTGGATGACTTCAGAAATAAATACTTGATGATCTCTTCCAAGAACTGCAACATTTCTGAGTATTTATTCTGTCTAATACATGTAACATTTTCCTGAGGCATCTTTCTCAAAGTTTTTAACATCTGCCTACAATTTTGTTAGATTTCTAATTTTCACAACCATAAATTAGAAGACAGAAATGAAAACTGCACTGAAAATTCATTGTTTGACTTAAGCTTGCATATTTTTGATAACCAAATATCATTTAAGTTACTAAATACAGCTGATGCCTTGCCAGATTTTGACATTATATTCTGCTAGAGATCCTCACTGGCTTCTACTGTTAGGTATAAGAACTGACACACTTGATTTGTTTGTCTTGTCACACAATTCTTACACTGGGAGTTACAGACTTTCTCTGGATTTTTTTGTAAAGAGCAACCATAAATCTTGCTGTTCTTGAAGCGCTGAACACCCTTATGTTCTTTATTTCTTCCAGGTTGAGCCACCACTTGAAAGACCTCTGTCTCCAGCTAACGTGAACCTTCAAGTACAGAGCTTGCCAAGTCTTGCAATGTCTGTAAGAAACTGTATCTTCATTTAGCACAACTGTATGCATTGAAACGCTTGTTCCAACCTGTACTTATTCTAACTGTGCATGATGCATCTTGATTTAACATACTGATAATAATTCATGTCGCTATACCACAGCCAAAATGTTCCAGAGATGGGAAGTGTCACATGTTTTCTTAACCAATGTTTATGTTAACTGGCTTTTGCTATTGACTCTAGAATATTCTGCACTGGCAGTCCTAAAGGCTAACATTTCCTGTTCAGCTAAACAAGAAAGATGAAGAAGCTGATGAATGGCCTTGTGCTCAGAGCATACCCAGGACTCTGCAGACTCACATATGTCTCCACAAATTTCACCTGTTAACTTGGAAAGCCAGCTTTTATTTCAGTCCTCCCACTGCGGAATGGTAATAACATAGCAGTGATAAGGCTAGTTTAACTCATGTTCACGGAGCACTCTGGTATTCTGAGACACAAAGCAGTGTATCATTGTAACTATCACTGTCCTGGTAAGATTAATCTCAACGTTTCCTTTTCACGCTTATTTTTTCAGGGCTATTCTGAAAGACTTTGATCCTTTAGTCCAGACCACAGCCTAGACTCTCTATTAGTTCAGTTCTTTATGTGAAAGAAGGTTGCCAGCTGCCTGGAGGCATGTTGCAATGACCATTCACCCATTTGCTAGAACCGTCATTGCCTTCGTGGATAGGATAACCTAACAGTTGAGTTATTACACACTTTCACTGCCTGTAAGCCTGGTGATAATCTCAAACTGGTGGTGATAATCTCAAACATCTTTTCCTTTGCCTCTCCCCTGTTATTAGCAAAAGCCCATGCAGCTTCAAAGCCATGCCTTTGTTTGCATAGAAAGCTGTGTCCTACTTGAAGTCCTATGATTCCTTGACTGCTCTTATACCTTGCCTTCTTACAGAAAGGAATAAAGGTGGAAGGAATATAGGAATAAATAGTTACATGTGAGAAGTGTGAAGATTTATTTTTGGTGTGATTAGGAAGCACCTCAATTTTCTTTCATCAATAAGCTCCCTTAATTAGTTAAATTTTATAATAGTTCTTTATTATTTACGTCACCATTTAAATTACCAGATCTGGAAGGGTGAATGAACCATGAACATTGCTTTTGTGTATTTGTCCACAAGAGGTCTCTCACTTGCTGAAATCCAGACTAACCAGTAGGTGCTATGAAAAATAGGCTGAAAAAAACAGAAGTAATTCAGCAGAATTTTTCAGAACTTTTGAAGATCTGAACAAAAATATGTTCAATATTTCAAAGCAATAGAACTTTTGTGCTCACCTAATATACGCGACCACAGTATGCTTGACAAAACTGAGGAGATAAGGCTGTATCTCGATCTTTGGAAAAAGAAAGTCCCTACGACAAATTTTTGGGAAAATGTCCAAGTCTCTTAAAGAAGGTCAAATTTCTACAAGCTTCACTCCTTTCTGCAGGGCTTTTGTGGTAGAAACTGTCACAAAACCATTTCTACATGTCCTGTATCAGCAACAAATCTGGAAATTGATTACTGTTTTTTGATGAAGATTTTAAAGATAAATGATTAATTTTGCATCCTTTTTTCAAAGCAAGAAAAGATATGCTTCCAAAAAAACGGAGGAATAAAATTATGTCCATTATTACCTATGCCTGTCATCTTGAAGTGTAAAAGCTGAGGCAAATGTTTTCAAAATATGGTCTTTTTATCTTCTATCCAATCGCAGGTTTTGGCTTCAAAAGAAAGATTAGCTGCCTCATTTGCTGCAAAGTGCTGCGATTAATCCTACTAATTGAATTACTAAATCACTCTTTCTGCTTCTTTGAAGGAGACAAAGAGGATTCAAAGGACTTCCCATGCGACCTAAGCTAAACTAAACCGGACCAACTTAGGCAAAATAAGATTCGAGCCCATGTGAGATGGGCTTGGTGTCAATGTAGAAGTTTACCACAGCAGGGTACAGTTGCCAGATAAATTGTATGTCTCAAGGTCACCAGATTAAAAATGTATTCAACAAAAGAAGTGATGAGTTGTTCACCGATACTGGATCATAAATCATCTATGTCCATCATGGACCAAAGAGATTACCTACAAAGATACTCCTACAGCTACCTCAGTACAGTTACCAAGTGTAGGATATTCCTATTAGGGAGCGGGAGGGCAGAACGTGGCTCACAAAGATTAAATAACACTGACTATGTTTATACCAGTAAATTAAACAGGGACAGAATATGGTCTCAGGCATTGTCCCACAATCGTCTGTAATGTCGAAATATTCGCAAGGTCTAATTACAACTAACATCCTTTTGGACAATGGTGAAGCATATTTTGGGGTTAGGACTGGCCAGTGAGTGTTCCCAGCAGCCCCTATGCACTGTGTTTTGCAGGGAAAGACATCAGTTATGTGACATGAGCTGTGCTGAGCCATTTATTCTCAGGGCCAGAGATCAAAGCTCAGTCCGTACTGTTTAATAACACAGCTGTCACCATGAAAACCTACCATCTTTAAAGAAGTCTGGCCATTTTAAAAAACAACATCATTAACTCTTCTCCCTGATAAGCCCATATAGGGCAACATCAGTAAATTGATGGCAAAGTGGGTTTCCTTGAACAGTTGCATTCTGTTTCAGAGTTGTTCCATGGCATGTGTTTAAAATAGTGCTGCTGTTAGAAACTCATCTCTGGTAGCAAGGACCTGACTCTGCAGAGTACTCTTCATTACGGCCTTGTTCACCTGTTCACAGCCCTTTGAAGTACTGAAACAGAGAGCAAAATATTTCTTCGTGCTGCCTCCAGATTAGGGTGGACAGGCTTCTGACAGTAACGGCTGCACAAAGGAATCTCTGTGTCTGGAGTAGGGCATACCCTGGATGCGGTCAACAGGTGAGATATGTCCCCTCTGTGAGACATGCTCCAAAAATCATGCTGCACACATAAACAAGTTCG